TTTACCCCCTGATCCTGAACACAGGGAGGGCAAGATGTCAATGGACACAATTTTGATTCCACTGCTGTTTGTTTTGGCCTCTGTTTTATTAGCAACTAATGGTAAACCCTGCAGTCCTTGCTGAGGCAGGGCAGCAGTGGTCTAGGCCTCCATGAATACAGACAGCATCAGGAGCTTGTGCTCCACCACCTTGTTTTACCTCAAGTCTGAATTATCTCCTGGGGCACACACAGGACGTTCACAGGTTTACAGCAGTTTAAATAGGATTTAGGGAAGTTACAGTGAAATGGAAGTGGGTCAGGGCCTTCCTGGGGCAATGGCGAAAACTCACCTATTGTTGGAAGCTCAAGCTTGCCTGCCAGACTTCAAAGCTGTCAGTAAAATAGAGAGAATTTTGTTATGTACTGGAGCAAACCCAAGGGTTTGCAAAGTGTGTTTGATGCAGAAAATCTACATCTTGTCCTACCAATGTGTGCCAGACCAGACTGTATCTATCAAGTAGCTTCTAGTGCTGCTGTCTTCTGCTGATATCCACTGGCATCAGAGTAGGCATCAGCTGTGTACTCCATCTGAGGGTCAGGTCCCCTTTTACCCTTATCATTAAAGAAATTTTTTTGTTGTTGGCAAGTTGCCCTTAGAAAATGAATCTTTTTTCTACTCAAGTGCAGCTGAATTTGTTTGACTGTCACAGAAGTATTTGGGCTCATGCCAGTATCATAGGGTAATACAGCTCTGGGATCTGCCCCTAAAAGTTTATCTGCAACTTTCTTGGTTAGCTAGTTAGTTTAATGCTGTTTGCCATCCCAAATTCCTACAGATGCAGCTATATGGAATTTCCCTAGAAAAAAACAGCAACTCTGTCAGAGAAGGTAAAAATATTGTTAGAACTCTTGTGATGTGTTTAGACTGTGGACTTCAATGTAGGGGTTAATAGAGTGTTATTCAGTATTCCAGGAAATTGTCAGGATCACCAAGTATTGTACTGGCTTGACCTGTGTTACATTGAACTCACTCTTTCCATGTTTCCAATAAAAACATACAGCAGATTCTTCCAGAAGCAGTGTCAAACTCAGTTAAAAATAAATCCCCTCATACTTTAAACATGTAGTGTGCATACTAAATATATCTCACCAAAATGTATCTCTTGTAAGGAAAACTATCTAAAATATATCAACCCTGAAATCTCCCCTGGGTCTCTGCAAAACCATGGGTTTCTGTTATGATTCCTAAAAGTTAAAATAATCCTTCCTCATTTGTAAGCCATCAAATCCTCTGTGTTTTACTCTGCTTTTATTGCTACACTAAACCAGCTTTGTTTCATTCAAGTGCAGGATTTGTAAATAACTAATTATAGCCCTGTTTTTTCCCTTGAAACATTAACATTTGGCACCTGAGAGAACAGCCCTGTTTCAACTACCAGACAGTTCAGGAGAAGCACTGGACTGGGTCTCAGAACAGGAGGGTACAGCTGACAAGTTCTCTTGAACCACTTCACCTCCTGCTCTCAGAACAGCAGTCAAATGAGCCAGAGGGCAACTTTAGGAAAATATTTTCCTCTAGTAGCAGTAACATCTGTCTCCCTGGCAGCCTGCACTGGCAGTTATGTTGGAAGCTGTGGGTTTGCCCCTGGCCCTGCCATGTATTTACATTGCTGAGAGGTTATCCTGAGCTCTGCTGGATCCTGTTACCTGATTTTCTTTTGTTCTGTCATTTTCTCTCCCTGATGCTTTGGCTGCTTAACTCTTTGTGGGTACGTGTAAAGTAGTATGAGATCAAAGGTACTAATTTGAAAGTATTAAGCAGTAAATTTCTTTCTGGTTAGAGATCCAGCTTTTCTAAACTGTTTTAGCTGTATTTACTTGGCTTCAGCCTAGACAATGTCCCAGTTGCTGTCTGAGCTTTTGAAGGTGCTGTTCTCTACACTTGTGTCTTCCACTTGTATCAAATTCTCTTTGGTGTTCATATTTGTCCTGCATTTTACTCTTTTCTTCTGAGTAACTGATTTTTGACTGATGCTTCATTTCAGTGGAATGATGGTATTATAAAGACAATTATGAAGTAATCAGCACGGGCATATCAATATTTATTGAAATACTGAAAAAAATAATTCCATTGGTGATGAGAAACTCTTGGCAAGAACTGACATGACAATATGTATTTCACTGATACAGTAAGAGAACTTCAACTTCAACAAGTAACTCACTGCACATTCTAAGAGTTAAATCCAAGGCAGCTGCAGAACATCTGTAATACAAATAATCAGACTTTACAGATTGTCTGTTTACAAACACAGAACAACTATAATAAACCAGCCAAAGCTAAACCTTTTTGAATTTTAGTCTGCTTTTACTAATATATCCTGTAATCAATAAGGCAGTCAGAAGAAAATGCTTGGTTGCAAAGTAGTTAACAATTAACGTGAGCGGGTTCTTTTCGTGGTTTGTTTTTTGTTTTGTTTTGTTCGTGTACTTCGGGCAATACGATGGGATTCTTGGAACCCCGCATGGGGGCAAATATATGTTCAGTTATCTGAGAGCATTTTCATGAGCCTAAATTGTTCCTTTCTTCTACATTCTTATTTTAATTCTTCTGTCCTGTATATGGATAATGGTGCTATGAATATTTAGCAATAGTTTTTCAGCATTTTCCTTAATATTCAGTGAAGTTCACTGTAGCATTTCAACAGGAAAAAAAAAGAGAAAATACAGAATGCAAACACTTGAATTAATGCTTTGCTTTTCTTTCTGAAAGGAAAGAATGACCATACTTATCTTGTTCGTATATTTCACAGCCACGTCAATCTTTACTATTCTGTTAATTTCGTTTGAGGGAGAGCACTGGTATTTAAGTAATGTTTCCGTCTGCCTTGGGGGATGCTGAGGGGCTGAGCTTGGTTTGCTCCAGGTCTGTAGGACAGTGTGTGTGTGCTGTGGTACAAGACAGGCATGTAGGAGTTGCAGACACTTGGCTTTGCTGTGTTGGTACCCTATGCATGGACAGAATATTAGAGCTGATTAATACAGGCAGTTAAATAGTGTGCTTCGTACTAATGCAGATGTAGTAACTGATGTCTTTGGTATACAATGGATGAACGGTTGGACAAAAGTGAGAGAAATGCACCTTTTCAAGTTCACATGAAACAGAAAAAGTTACAACTCACATAATTTACAATAGATTTAAATAAACTACATTTAGGATTATGAAGATTTACAGACATTTAATCAAGTGAATGATTTTAATTTGTAAAGACCCTTCTGTGTCCCTGAACTATGTTCCACTAACTTGAAGACATGCTACAGTAAACACATATATTTGGCTTCTTCATTCTGGCTATATCTTATATAAAGATGAAACCAAAGAACAATAAATTAGCATCATAATTGTCTACAGTGAAAACTATCATATACAATATAAATAAACTATTCAAAAGCCAGCAATCTTCATGAAAAAAATTAAAGTATTAGGATTTTATACAGTTTCTACAAGTGATTGTACAGCCAATAATCTCAAAAATTAAAGTAAAAATGAAATACCCCTATTGATTTTAGTGTCTCACGACATACAGTAATTAAGTACTGGTAAAATAATTACCAATTTAAAAGAAATAATAAGGAAATCACTGCTCTGCAATTTTATCACAGTTTTTCCCCACGGGACCTAAAGAATGTAAACACTATGTTTTTGTTAATGCTAGAGATTAATACTTTATTTTGAAATGTATGTTGATCTACACCTGCGCAGTTACCTTTAAGGGTAATGAAATAAGGCAAGACTTATAAATGTGGCACTACATGTTAATACTGATATCTTCATTTGGACAGAGAGAGAAATGTTTGTTCTTTTCTAATATTTGTTCTGCAGCAGACTTTGGCCTACATAGACACAGCAGTATCACTCTTCTTTCTTTGCGTAAAATAGGTATATTACCTAACTTTGAAAACAGGAAGTTTCGTTAGATATTGGATGTTTGAGTTGAAATTTAGTTTCCAAACGACTGGCAATTTTAATTTCTTAATAAGCTCCCTGGCATCATCCAGTTGTACAATTCACTTGTCACTTCTTTTATTACAAAATTCTTTTAAAAATTTATTTTTAGTTTCTTAACACCAGTATTTGGTGTTCTTATTTCTGTTTTCTTGTCAAAGAAAGTGTTGTTTGGGATGGCTGAAATATCTCTATTTTCTTTATTTGGAAACAACCATGAATATATAGTGGAGCCATCTTGAGTATGCAGTTGAATTGGCTAATTTATTTTGGAATATTTCCTTAGCTGCTTAACAGCTATCTGATAAGAGCAGTAGAAGAGGGATACTGCCTGGTAGAACAACATGAATACGTGACAAAACAAACTTCAGAGCACAGTTAAGAATGCCAAGCTAACTGGATCCCAGACTCTTCCTAGGAGCGTTTGCAGACCCCACAGGCAGGCCCAGCCTCGAAGGGTTTGGTGGCCACAGCACGTGGCCTAGGCCAGCTCTCTCTTACAGCTTGTTCAATGGATGCCACATCATTTAGCACAGAAGAAGTAAGTGTTGGGTCCCTGTAAGGATGACAGAAGATGCTGTAGATGCAGTTTTGCATCTGTTGTAACTGTTTTACGAGTCCTTCTATGCAGTGAAGGAATTTAGTGCACTCAAATTCCCCACCATCTTAGCTCAATAATACAGATCAGGTTTTTTTTCACCTAGGTTTCTTCATGTTAGCAATCAGCAGAGTTAAATATACAATGATCATTCTGTCCTTTTTCTTGTTGACATTGGTGATGGTATCCACTTGGTAAGTTCACTCCAGTATAAAGTCCTATATAGATTCCTTTGGGGATGTGTAGCATATGATTCACAGTTTGCAATACAAATACCCTGATACATCACTTATTTACTATTAGTATTTGATTATTACACCATTTTGCAAAGTCTTAAAACCACGTTTTAATTAATGTTGCTTGGAGCAGTTCAGAATAATTTCTTTTCCTTGAAAGCAGAAGCTCTAATGGGTATAATTTATGCTCTCTTTGCATGCAGCATCTCAATGAGAAGGTTATTACACGGCACATCCCCGTTCAGGTGTTTGTAGTAGAGGTATTCTTCGGCCTGCATACTGATGGCCCGGATTTCTGGTAGTCGCAGGAGAAGCTGCCCAAATTTGTCTGTTTGCTGTGGATAATTACACATGGTGTAGTCCAGTAGAGCAGCATTCACTTGTTCCTGAACACCTTCCACAAGCTGGAAGTTCTCGAGGTTTTTGACATCTGAATGATAATAAAAAAAAAAGACAGAAAAAAACCCAGGTAACAATTCAGTTGCATTTTAATTTGTGTTTATGAAGTCAGTGTTTCACTAAATGGATGTATTTTTTTGCCTCCTGACAAAAGCATACTTTACAAGCTGCTGAATATTCAGTGAACTCTTTTGCCAACTTTCCTGGGAAAATGATCACAAAAGAGCTTTAGTGGAGTGTCTTGTTGAAATTCTGCATATACCTCAAATCAATTAGACACCAATGGAGTCTGAGCAAGGTCAGCTCTTTTCATAGCTAACAAAAAGAAAGGCTGAGGATTCCTAAAGTAGAAGACCATAATATATTGCTAGCAAATGAGTCCCAAGAGGAAGCCCTATCTTTAACCTACTATGTTACACAATTCATACAATTCTGTATTAATTTTTCTGACCCAAGGTGAAATCTATGTCCAGGGTATGATGTAGTTAATTCTAATAAAAAGTGACAGTGCTCTTGTTTCTGTTTGACATTTTCAAAATGATTCTGAAAGCCTTTGACTTGTCTAGCCTATGTTAATGAACCATCTGGTACACTCCAGTGACTGCCAAAATAATATTCCCTACTAGAAACTCTCTAAAATATATATTTCACTGACTAATGATCTTTATAAAATGAAATCATTGTCCTTTGGGTAGAATACTAGATAAGAATGGTGCCCTTTAACCTGCATATGGTTTCTGAAATCCAACACTGATTTTTTTTTCTGGTATTGGACAACAGGGCATTTACATCAGCGCGGCAGGTACAGTTTGTTCACTCTGCCTCTGTTTGATTATCTTCTGTTCCTATACAGCAAGTTCAAGCTCTGGAAATGCTGGTCAGAGATAAATGCCAGTATATTATCTCCTCATTGTTTGCTCCCCTGTGTAAAAACCACTCGGATGAAATTGTCTTTTAACATGTCTGGTGAATGCAGAAGTTGTTCTAAAGCTTGCAAATTAGAGTGCTGCTCTAATGCAGGAAGAGGGAGCTGATTAGAGAGCACTTGCTGGGAGAGCTTGTTTTGGTTGTGTTTGATCATTTTTACCATCAGTAGAGTACTGCAGTAATTTCTTGTAAGGCTAGAGCATGGTGCTACTGGGCACAACTCTGCTGCTTATTCACTTTGTATAAAGACAAATCTGTTCATCTGTGGATATTTTTGGAGCCCAGGAGATGGAGAATTTTGCAGAATTTGGTTCATTGTAAATGCCAGCCTCTGATTGTGGGGAAATGAGTGTTTTCCTTTGCAAAACAGGAACACACATTGGTCACCTGCTCCATTGGGAGCGTGGGCGCCTGTGTAAATTGGGTCTCACTGCAGCTTTTCCTAGAAGTGCTTTAAAGAGAGCAAATACTGGTTTCTGCACATAACTTTGTGCTGGAACATGAGGGAAATGGTTGGAGGAGAAAAACATTGTCTTTAGAACAAGAGAATAGGAAAGATGCCAAGGGTCCCGGTGGCAGCCGGTGGCAGCACACAGAGCCTCCCGAGCAGAGTTCCAGGCTGTGAGCAGGAGCCCCTCTGGAATGTGCTGGCTGCCAGCTGCACACTGGATTCCCTCTTGCATGAACCGGGGCCAGTGCTTCCTGCTGGGCTTGTTATTGCCTGCCTCTTTCCTGTCCCAGTTTCACTGTGGAAATGAAGCCAGTGACTCCTGGATTTGTGCTGCTTGGTTGGGAACTGGGGACATAACATCCACCAGTTAGTTGACTTAAGGAACTTGCCAGTAATACTGAAATTGTGATGGCTGTCCAGCAAGAATCATCTGAACTTTACATTATCCCAAGTGAAGAGGACTGGAAACTTCAAAGCTGCTATGCCTGGTCCCTTAGCTATTCAAACTCATTTATCCAAAGTCTTTTTGCCAGTGTCTCTGGAGGTCTTTGGATAATCATGTTTTCCTGTACTACACTGGACATTTTCTCATATAAAATATAGCTGTTTATTATTTTATGTACCTACAGAAAACTCCCAAGGTATTTTATAGCTAGTGTAACCTGGTTTAAAAATTGGGTGTTCTAAGCATATTTTTATAAAGCTAAAAAAGAAACAGTATCACCTATCACAATTAGCTTAAATAGGTTGTTTCAGATGCAAAATATAGTCATGAATGAATTGCTAGAACATAAAAACTCCCACAGAAAACAGGGACTATGCTAGAGATTGAATTGTTTACTGATTAAACTGAAACAGCAAGGTAAAATGTATGATGATTTCAGAACCAGTATTTAGAACTTTTTTCCTCTGTAAAAATAACTTTAAAAGTCAGGAAGTTTTACAAACCGTTATCTTATTCAACCCCCTTTAAATTCAAAGGGCATCTTTCTGTTACTCTCTGTCTATTTTGAGCCATACTGTGTATGAGATTGTGCTGTTTTCTTGGAAAACCAGGTTCATTATTATTTTTACTCCCTGTTTAAATGTTATTGCGTGGATTATATATTTATTGAAAAATCACAAGATAAATTTTTACAGAGATAAAGAAGAAACAAAATCTGATAACTGCAAACTTTAATATTTTTCTACAAAAGCAGCAAGTTTAATATGTGTTTTAGAGACACTTATTCTTCTGGTTTTAGCTGAATTGATGCTATACTCCAAGACAAGAGGAGGCATATTTTATGTATTATATATTACCCCCAAACCCAGGATCAGCGGCTTTTGGCAGTGGGTGCACGGGTGCAGTGTGAGGTGCTCCTGTACCCCTGTCAGCTCTGTGGCCTCAGGGAGTCCCATGAGCATTGCAGAACTGCAGGGGAAGGTCTTTGCTGGTCTCTTTCCTCATCTTGGGACAGTTCCTTCAATGTGGCAAAATAAGCACTGCAGCCAAGATTTAGAAACAAGTCCAGTTTATAATAACAGTAAACAAAAGTAGTTCTGGGCTCCTGTGCCACATTCAGCCTGGATAAATACTTCCTCTAAACAAGTTCTTGCTATTTGTGGTGAGGCTCAGTGCTTGTAAACAAGATGTTATTAGTTAACCAGGGGAAATATGTAGATTTTCTTGAATTTCTATACTGAATCAGGGACAGTCCAAGTAATCACAATTTAAGACATCACTACATAATTCATTTGTGTGTAGATGTCTTCAGGACTGCAATTACAATAGTAGAGACATAGGGGCAACCTGATTTGGGGTGAGTCTCTGCGAAGTTGTGAAGTGACCAAGATCTCTGCATATGACTTTTGATGTCTGTTCTTATCTCATATTCAAGTGAATGCTGCAGTAAACCAAATGATACAATCTGAACAGAGAGAAGTCAAAGGATATGTGCTGAGAGCACTGTGTAAAACTCCACTGTCATCTCTCAAGCTCTCCTGGGATACTTATATGTTGTCAGAAATACGTTGCTGAACCCATAATTGCGATAAAAATTATATGGTTTTTTTTGAGAGAGAATCATAAACTGTAGCTCTGGTTAAGATGAGTAATAACAAAGGCAAACATGTGAATATTAAGTTATTTCCAGTACCTTCAAATTATGCAGGTAGAACAAGAAATGGTACTGTTTTCACTGGTGGTACTTAGTGTTGGTTGGCAGGGATACAAATAATAATGTTGGGGTTTAAGTAGATGGTTTTCCTGTGGTTTGAGTTTGGTTTTGTGCTTGGTGTTTATTATGGAACTCTGGCCAAACAGATTTGGTTTTACAAGTATTTCCTTAAACTGCTGAGGAGTTAACTTGGTGAGAGACCAAGCAATGCTGGTGTAAGTGCTGAAGGCAGTCAGTACAATGAGCATGAAATCTGCTACTGATGTGTACAGCACAGCATCCCTTATCCTTTCACATAATTCCTCATTCCTGTTATATATTTTTTTTAAACTGGAATGTCTCTTATTGATCTTTACATCGGTTAGTAACAATTTAAAGTACACATGTTTAAGCTTAATGCAAGAAATCATTTTCTGAAGTTTAGATGCTTGTAAATTAAATGAGTAGGAGTAGGTCCCCCCCCTCCCACCCACACACCCTTTAAATCCTAGCAGCTAGAAAAAGTGTTTTGTGTTGCTACAGTAAGTATCAGTCTCTTAGCTCTTCTACTTTATTCACTCAGGGACTAATTACCAACTTTTTACATGAAACAGCCTTACTGTGAGCTCACAGTGGGGCGCGCATCTTTTTCTATCCTTATTGAAAAGTAAACCCTTAGGTCTTCTGGAATATATTATATGTTTTACAAGAAATAGCAATTGCTTTTCTGTCAAACAAAGAATTTTTGTTCTCTATAGCTTACTTTTGACGATTAAGACAAAAACAGTATTATAGTGTGTCAGGATCTGCTCTGCAGTCACAGTGAAGATCTGCCAGTATTCCCAGATATCCCCCATTTTGATTATTTTCCATATCTGCCATAAAACCGTGTGTTAAGCTGAAACTGCACACAACATTCAGCCCAGGGAGAACACTTTTGCATATTTTCCCCCAAAATGGGTCTGGTCTTTAGAGGGGAAAAATATTTAGGTTTCAGAGAGATTTTCTCCCTCTCATATTCCAGACATGAAATACTGAAAATTTGGGGATGTACTAATCTATAGAGAGTTTCCTTTGGTCTGGGAATTTTAAAAAGAAAAATGAAACAGAATGAGAGATTTAACTTTGAAAAATAGTAACTCCTTGGGAGCACTAAATATTTCCCAGAGAAAGCTGGTTAAATTTTACTGCTCATGTCTTTTATTCAATGCTGTTTCTACATGAAGCAATGAAGAGGTGTGAACACAGCTCATTTGCCTCTTTGCGTTTTGCACCATTGCAAGGACAAAATAAGATTTTGGGTTTCTCCATGGGAAAGAGGATTTCTCCCTTTCACAAGGCTGCTTCCAGTCTCATGGATACTCCGAGCACTAGGGCTTGTTACCAGCCCTGGCCTGAGCTTCCTCACCCGAGGGGGCTGATGAGCCCCATCATTTAAGGGCTTTATTGAAACCCAGTGCCTCTAACACTTAGCAGCTCTTTGCAAGGAGTGATTAGCTCATTGATAAACTGTTA